GCAAAGTCTACAAGACTGCCTCAGGCGAAGTGGTCAAGGACCTTGGCAAGATCGAGGCCAGGGTGACCATCGGCATCGGCCAGAACTCCCTCAATGGACGTTGCTGTTTCCGGGTGATGGCGGTTGCAAAACCGCTGCTCTCCGCGGGGGCCCTTATGAGCAAGGGCTGGCGCATTCAGACGCACGGATCTGGTGGACAGATCTCCCGAGACGGAACTAAGATTCCGATCTCGTTCAGCAACGGCGTCTGTTCTGTGCCGCTTGCATTCCACCCTTTCGTCCGGCACCGCAATGGGTAAGCCCGGTGGAGCAGGCCGAAGAGGCCGAGCAAGGCGACGAAGTGCCGCCTGAGCTCCGAATCCATGCTCCCACTCGCCCGACGAGAAAAGAGTTTGAAGAGCATGTTGTGTCACACTTCCCTTTTAGGTCTTGGTGTGAAGCCTGTGTAAGGGGAAAAGCCAAGGCAAACCCCCACAGGAAGATAGACCACACCGATGAGACAACCCCAGTAGTGACTGTAGACTACTGTTTCATGAATTCACGAACTGATGATGTAGTTTTGGACGAGAAGACCCATGCACCAATTCTTGTTGTCAGAGATCGATGGACGAAGCATCTTTTTGCTCATGTGTTGCCCTACAAAGGTGTGACAAAAGGTCCATATGGATCCAAAGTACTTTTGAACGACATCAAGAAACTAGGATACTCCAAACTGATCATTCGACATGATCCTGAACCTGCCCTCACATCCGTTGTTGAGGCAGTAAAGAATGGGTTTGAAGGAACCCTGATCATCGAGAAGAGCCCGAAAGGAGTCAAAGAATCCAAGGGAGAGATTGAACGAGCAGTTCAAACCTTGGAAGGACAAGCCAGGACTCTTCGAGCCGCGATCGAGTCAAACTATGGTGAGAAACTTCCTGACGATTCCCCTGTTTTGACTTGGTTAGTTGAACACGCATCCACAGTCTACAATCTGTTTTTCCGATCAACCGAACTTCAAGACGGAAAGACTCCGTATTCACGACTTCGTGGACGTGAATGGAAAGTAGCAATTCCACCATTTGGTGAGGCCATCGAATACCTCAAGAGAGGTCACAAGTTCGAGGCCCAATGGACAAAAGGAATTTTTCTAGGAGTGAAAGACACCACCACAGAGAAGATAGTAGGAAACACCTGTGGCGTTTTCACAGTGCAATCCATTCGAAGAAAGCCAGAAGAAGATCGATATGATTCAGAGTTGCTGAAATCGATCACTGGAATTCCCTGGGATCCTCAAGCAATTCGCGAAGAACCAGCGATTGCAGCCCCAAGGGAACCAGTCATTGCCAGTCCAAGTGGTGAAGCTTTGGTGCAACCACCGGCAATAGATGACAAGAAACGAAAGCTGAGAAGGCTTTACATCACCAAGAAAGACCTGGAAAAGTTTGGGTATACTGCAGGTTGCCCAGCTTGTGAGGCCACACAGATTGGCAAGAGATCTACAGGCGTCCATCACACCAACAGGTGTCGAGACAGACTTGAAGAGAGCATCAGAGGAGAAGAAGAAGAGAACCCAAGAGTAGCAAGACATGAAAGCCGAGTTGGAGAGGCAATCACTGGCAAGACCATCGGGAGTTCCCGATTCGTGTCGAGTGTTCGCACGACTTGACGTCGAAGCTTATTGTTTTCAAACCACCATGCCAGGAGGACCTGATTGGTCCACCGTCTGGCACCGAGTCACAAGAAACCATGCAAACAATGCAATCATTGAGAGTGGAGTCATGACAACAGACCTTCCACCAGAGATACTCAATGGAGCATTACCACACAAGATGGACATTGTGACAGAACTTTGGTACGAACCAGAAGCAGCACCACCAACACCAGGCACAGCATCTGCTTCAGCATCAGGTATTCGCAGACCACGCGAACCTGAACCACATGGAGAAAAGAGAGAACACGAAGAACAACATGAACCAGCAGGATCACCCACAGCAAAAGCCAGAGTAGATAGAGACAAGAAGAGAAAGGCAGGAGGCGAACATGAAGATGAAGCCGAGAGAACAAGAGACATCCAGAGCATTGAGATGGCTCTAGAAAGCCTAATCCTAGAAGACAGAGAGAGAGAGAGTGCTGTCTAGCCTCGACCCAGAGAAACCAGTGTGTGAAGAGAAGATCCCACTGCCAGAAGAAATGGCAGAAGAGGCAAAAGACTGGTGGTACTATGATGACATCAGTGGAAAAGAGCTGCTACCTGAGAAGGTAGAGAAAGCCAGAAAAGATGAAATCGACATTGTCGAATCAATGGGAGTTTGGGAAAAGATCCCAAGAAGCAAAGTTCCAAAAGGAACCAAAATCATTGGAACTCGATGGGTAGATGTGAACAAGCAAGATGAAACCAATCCTCTCTACAGAAGTCGATTGGTAGCGCAAGAGATCAAAAGAGGCTCAGGTTTTGACGAATTTTTCGCAGCTATGCCGAGCCTTGCAGCTTTGAAGCTACTGCTAACCATCGCAGTCAGTGACAGCCTTCCATTGGAGAAAGGCGAAAGAAGAAAATCAAAACAATCATTTCTAGGATTTTTAGATGTGAAGAGAGCTCATTTCTACTCCAAAGCAACAAGAGAACTCTATGTTGAAATTCCATCAGAAGGCAAGAAACCAGAAGATGGAGATGTGGTAGGAAGATTGGTCAGAAGCCTTTACGGCACCAGAGACGCACCCATGAATTGGGAGCTGACCATTGCAGAGTTTACGAAGAAGCTAGGATTTGTTCAAGGCAAGTCCAACCCATGCATCTACTACCATGCATCCAGAGAACTTCGAACAGAAGTGCATGGAGACGATTTCACGACAGTTGGAAGTTTTGATGACATCAAATGGTTTCACACTTCAGCAGCCAAAGAATGGCAAGTTGTGGAACGAGGCATTCTCGGTCCACCAGGTTCACCAAAAGTAAGCCAACAGATCAGAGTGCTGAATCGCATCATCACCTGGTCAAATGAAGGCATTTGGTGGGAACCAGATCCAAGACATGCAGAGTTGATCATCAAGTGGTTAGGCACTGGTCAACCAGGCAAGGTCAAAACACCTTTGGCCAAGCCAAGTCAAGAGGAACTCCAACATGAAGAAGTTCCGCTGAGTGCCGAAGATGCAACGATGTATAGATCTATTGCTATGAGAGCCGCGTGTTTGGCACAGGATCGACCTGATCTGCAAACTGCAACGCGCTCATTGGCACAAGGTCTACAGAACCCAACATCGAGGCACTGGAATATGCTGAAACGATTGGCTCGATATGTCAGGTATCGACCAAGAGTTGCACAGTTGTTTCCAAACCAAAGCACCTGCAACCCCTTCAACATGTGGTCAGACGCCGACCATGCAGGTTGCATAAGGACACGAAAGAGTGTGTCAGGAGGCGTGCTCATGGCCAACAAATGCTGTCTCACAACATACAGCAAAGGCCAAGGAGTTGTCTCCCTGAGCAGTGGCGAATCCGAGTACTACGGACTTGTTTCTGGAGCATGTCAAATGCTTGGAATCGCATCAACAGCAAGAGACTGGGGATTGTTTCCCAGCAAAGAGGTGACAATGGACGCTTCCGCTGGCATCGCCATGGGAAACCGTCGAGGTTTGGGACGAGCTAAACATGTTGACACTCAATACCATTGGGTACAAGAGCGCACAGCAAAGAAAGAGTTTCGTCTCAAGAAAGAAGGCACCGACCGAATGTTGGCCGATGTGCTAACGAAAGCTGTCACCGAAGAGAAAATGACTACAGCCATGAAAGGCATGAACTTCCACTACTTGGAAGGTGAGCATGAGCTGACTTTGAAAGCGTGAACGGCTTGAGCTAGAGTAGGTACTTCTTCAAGACCAAGATGTACTGAAGGGCTACGAGCTAATTCACCGAAGTGCTAATCCTGACTCGCTTAACTTCTGGGAGATGTTAAACTCGGGAGGCGTGATCAGATGTAGCACCAGTTACATGTACATGACATAGCTTGTATAGATGTATGTTTCACTGCAGCCGTTTGTTCAATCCGTTTGTTCGAGTTTGAGCTAAAAGTGTGCCTAAGCTTCTACAACAACCTTTGGGACAGTGACTTGGGGTCACAGAGTTTAAGAGCCTAAATTCTCCGTTCAGAAAGTCATAAACTCAAAGTGGGTAAACATCTGATGACATTTGGCCAGATCTTCGGGATGGTTCTTTGAGTTGTTGGGGCCCTGAACTGCACTGTCCTGTTGCACCTGGGTATGTCTTCCAGTCTTCCACCGTGCAGAGTGGAGCTTAGAGAGAATGTGTAGGCGTGCAACGTCTCAAAAAAATCAAGGAAGAACAAGTGGTGCCACACGGATCTTTTTTGTTGTGTACAAAGTTTGCCGAACATCACATGTAGTATGTTGTATCCTGAAGAAGCGCGAACGGTGCAGAAAGTCTTGTGACGCAAACAACATTTGCGCAAGAATGTGCGACGCGGACATGGCCGTTCTTGGAAGTTGGTCGTGCGACTCTGGGACATTGTTTAGCGGCTGCTGGGGATGCCCTGAATGGCTTTGTGTGTTGGACACGTGTCACTGTTGTACTTGTCAAACCAGTTTCATTCAGCAGTTGTGAACAACTGCCACAAAAGGCGTCCTGAATCCTGAACACGGCACAGTGCCCAACATGATGCCAAATTGCTCGTCGCTTCCATGTGGCCATGTGGTTCCAAGGCAATCACGAGTACGTACCTCTTCAAATCAGACTTCAGCTGCCGGGTTTGAGACGAATAGCAGCAGGATTAGCAGTTGATTGAAAGTGTTTGACAGCAGAAAGACATGTCTTTGTCTATGTGTTTTAACCATGCAATAACTTGACATTTAAGGCGTTCGGATACATTTCAAGACATGTCGATCGGTGCATAGCTTTGTAAGTGCACGCTGTGCATCCCTGGCACAGAAATCAGCATGCAAGATGACATGTTCAAAAGGTACGCAGCTGACACATCACTGATACCTCATTGTAACCACTAGCCATGGCCAGCCATGTCATTGATTTGGATCCTGACATCGAGGCCAATCATGTATGTTTCTGGCTTTGTTCACACATGCCAATATCTTCCTGCATTCCAAGAGTGTCAGAGAATTTCAGTGTTTTTATTGCTTGGATTGGATTGTCACCATGTATATAATCGGCCAGCATTCATGCTAGGCGTTGAGTCACAAGACACTACACATGCAAAGAAAGACAGAAAGACAGAAAGACAGACAGACAGACAGACACCCAGCCAGCCAGCCAGCCAGACCGACCGACCGACCGACCGACAGACAGACAGACAGACACCCAGCCAGGCAGACAGACAGACAGAAAGAAAGAGATGGATCGACGCCGGTCCTGAAGACTGGTTTCACATTCAGGATGTGCCGCCTGCTGGAGTTGCGTCAACTCCTTACCAACGGCGCCCACCATCACGGACTGTCGAGGGGTCAATCTGTCGGATTTTTTGGAATGGCCTCCAAGCTAGAAGCGATGGCCTCCAACCTACGAGCGATGGCCTCCAACCTGGTGAGCGATGGCCTCCAACCTACTAGCGATGGATAAAGTTGTCGCCCTGCATCCATTCTGGTTGGCGAACTTGGCTGAGACAGTCATGAATAAGCTCTGGACAGGTAGGATTAGAGACGCGGTGGTCATCAAAAACCTCACTGATTCCAGCAATGCCAGGCTAACCCTTTTGCCTGCATCTCCATGACTGCCTGGGCAAAAACCTGTAATCAGTGTAGGCAAAACCTGGCATCCTTTTCAATTATATATAATATATATATATATATACACACACATATTTTTCAAGGTTTTGATATGCCAGGTTGGTTTATACAAAAACTGTGAGTTCTGATGTGTTCTTGAATCAAACCTGGTTTTGACATTACCAGGTTTCTTCAGCTGTAAGTTCTGATGGACGCCCAGTCATGGATGGTGCCCACAGCTGGTGGTGACTTGGATTCAACTTTCCAGGAGTGAGATGACTCCCATGAATCCTCCGCGTCAGGCGTGACTTACCGCGTTTGGGCAACCAAGTCTTTCTCCTTGGGACGATTTTGGACGTGTCAGATGGACCGCGCTTGACGTCAACAAGTATACACACACACGGAGTAAGCTGCTGCTTGAGTTTTAGACTAGACTAGAATATGTTGCGATTGATATTGCTGAACCTACTCATGAGGATCTCTAGCATATAGCTGTTCTGGCTGTCGCCAGGCTGCCTCGGTGCAGCTTGAGTCTTTTGCATTTGAGCAGCCGACCAAGCGGACCAAGCGCAGCAATTCTGGCGCCGAACAGGAAGACGTGCAGTGCTTCGTTGTTTGCCATGGTTTGGTCCCCTTTATATAGATTTTTCCCTCTGAAGACTTGACGTTTTGAAGCTATCATCAGACGTGTCAAAGCCTCAAGTTGACTTGAAATGCTGTTGTCCTCTAACTTATGATTCTTTAGGTTCTTTGGGTCACTCTTTGAGAAAACCTCAGTTCAGCGGCTGTTGCAGGGCTTCCAGCCAGCTTCCCTTCGACAGCACTTGGAGCACAAACAGATCCAGGTGGAGGACTGACCAAGCACTTCAATGTTGCTGGACTTGTGAAACGGTCTAAATTTCGGAAGCACTTGACACACTTTTATATCGACGTGAACCAAAATCTGGTGCCATGATCCCAAGCACATATGAGGCATTCCACGAAACACTGGTCTTCATGCCACGGTGCGATGACCCAAAACGCATCTGTGGAATGAGAGGAGGACGAGTGCAAGTGGAAGCGGGCCAAAGCCGTACAGTTCAAATGCCAGGTGTGTAGATGTGCGGCGCCTCCCCCCGGGCCTAAGCCATTGACTTTGATTGAGCTTAGCTTCCGCTTTTCATTTGTTTTTCAATTTTTGATTAAGCCGTGCTTAAGCCTTTTTTTGTTGAGCGCCGCAGCCTCATCGGGGCAGTAAGGGGCAAGTAGATGCAAGGAGTAATCAGGAACATCCCCAGCCACCTTCCCTTAGCTTTTGCTTTCTTGAGTATGATTTTCAATCTTTGTATGTTGCAGTACGGTGTGAAGCAGTGAGCTGGGAGACATCAATATACCGACCAACTTTAAACTTACAAGAATGGTGTGTAACGCAACAAGATGACTTTCAGAAAGTATGGCTGGTGCTTGGACTTTCTAAGGGTGCCAGTCAGGGGCTTGCAAGGAGTTCTTTGGAGTCCAAGTCCACCAAGGAGGTATCCCAGACCGACTACTTGAGCCACGAAACGATGTCCTGCTTCACCTGCTTCTGCCTGCCTGTTCGACTGTTTCGTTCAAGGCGGCAGAGGATTCGCTCAGCCTTCTGTTGGTCTCCTTGGAGGAGCGCTTGCTGTTGCCGACTCCAGGATTTGAGCAAGGCCCAGGCCAGGCGCGGGTCACCCGCGCCCGGTCACCCCGGACGGGAGGGTCGGTCCGCAGGGCTTCTGCGCGCTGCGTTTTTTCCCTTTTTTTTCAAGCACAACTCTGGTTCAGTCGTTCAGTCGTTCAAAGCACGTCTGGTTCAGTCGACGACGAGCCAACTCTGCCCATGTATCTCTTGCCGACCCGGAAAAACACCCGCGTCCCTGCCGCCGGACCCAGCGGTCACTCTGCCAACCCGTCCCAGGTGCACCCAGCGGTCCCGTCTCCACGGGCGGATCCGTCCGCACGGAGTGCCCTGGATCCAAGCCGGTGCTGGACCTCCATGGAGTTCCTTGGAAGGGATGAACTCTTCCGAAAGAGTCGGGATGTCAGAAGACACCTAGAGACTGCAGGGACTTAGTGATAGTGTAGGGGTGTAGATTGATACTGGAGATGTTGCCGTTCACATTTGGATATGTTGCATTTTTGCCTGAGAGGTGTTGAGATAGAGCTGCCTTTGGTGCATGTGTTTAGCGGCAGAAAGTTTGTTCGAGAAGGGTGACAGCAAGCCAGAAACTCGACCACCATGTCCATACCAGCCAGTTGCCCAGACATCAGGAATGTGCCAAAGCGACGTCGGCGCTGTCCGGTTATAAGCAGATCTCTTGCAGACAAGATTGAAGAACTGGTGTACCCTCCGAGTCACACGCATGGAAGCGGATGGCATGGACCTTTGGATGACGAATTATTCTCTACGAACAGGGGTGGGAACTCCGCTTCCATGTGACGAGTTCGTGGGAGTGTATCATACAGTTCTTGTACGTATACCAGGTTCGGCAGATTGAAGAACTGGTGTCCCCGCTGCTTTGTTTTGTTCTGCAAAGATGTGGAGCCGCACGAGAATGACCGAGAATGCTTGGACTTTCAGACGAAGTGAACAAACCCTGCCCTACCCTTTCGGAAGAGTTGGGAACCAGATGCACTCCCTGAAACAATCATCAGTGAGTCGGAGTGTACTGCAGACTGTTGATGAATTGTATATAACCCCCCATTCTGGTTGGACGTTTCATTCATCAGTACATCCAACAGACAGCCCGATCAGTTCATGTCGACAACCAGATCTGTCGACAGAAACGACGCGAAACTACGCTCCCGGCTGCAGGTGACCCGAGAAGGTGCTTCTGTACTCTTGCACGTCCATGGCTTTCGACCCTACTTCTATGCGACCAAGCCACAGGCTGAGGTGCCGAGAGCGAGAGGGAGAGTGCCGACAGCTAGATAGATGTGATAGGTTTTGATAGGTTTTGATAGACAGGAGGGATAGTATGTGCGAAAACAAAAGCAAGGAGCCCGAGAGCCAAAGTCAAGCAAGCCAGGGCTCCAGCAGCTTTGGCTTCGATTGGCCAGGTGTCTCTGGAGCTTTGCCTCTCTGCTTTGCACCGTGAATTGCGGAGTAATGATGGTGGCATTGCTTCTTGGCGAGAAATCTGAAATCAGGTCAGGTGGAGGGAGATCAGAGCTAGCAATGGACGATGGCATCAAGCAAGAACTCAGAACACTCAGAACACTATATGTCTATATATATATATTGATTTGTCCTGCCGGTTGGCAGATGTCAAACCGGATATGCAAGACCAAGTTCTTTCTCTCAAGAAAACAACGCTTTGCATCCAGCTGATGGCAAATCTCTCTCTCTCTCTGTATATATATACACACTGTATAAGTATGTATATATATATATATATGCATATGTATATATATATATATATAAACGTTATATTATATATATATGTGTTTCTTTTTTCCATAGTATTCCAAACCTGTGTCTTCTGTTAGACCTGTTTGCAAGTAGGTCCAACCCCCAAACTTCTGTCTGAAACCTGGCCCTCATGGGATTTACCACGGCCGTTCACCCTCTGTCCGTCTCAGAAAGACGTCACTCGTCCAGGAGCTGCTGGAGGAGGTGGAACGCACGCCGTTGATGAACTACCATCCGAACTCCGAGAAGTTCATTCGTGTGGTGATGCTTCTTGCTTGAACGAAGTGGTGAAGGGCCCCCGTCTGGTGACTTCTGGGAGGTCCGAGTTGAAAAACGGCAAACGGTTGGACTCCGAAGCAGGTGTTCCAAATTTGTCAAGCTTGTTGAGAACTCTGACCAAGTATTTTTCAAAGTCTCAGCAATCTGTGGAAATCGGATTTGCATCCCAATTGACCGCCCTCCAGGAGTATTTTCCAACCACACAACGTGTCGCCCAGGTCTAGCACAAAGATGGTCAATGCCTGCAAGTCAAAGCTGGAGAAGGGCATCGTCTTGCCCAACGGCATCACGTGGCAGTCGCAGGCCCCGACACCTCGGCCACGTCTCACCGTCTGTCGCCGGTCTCGCGAGCCGGTCTCCCAAGTCATGCAGTAGGTACAAGTACCTGTTGTTTTTTTTGTTAAATAGGGTCATGTCCCATTGTCTAGGGTACTTTGGAGGGTCCAGGTACAGATGTTCTGAGAAGGTCGGAGACACGTACTTGTCGGCGTGGAACCAGGCACCCATTGTGTCTCGGGTCCAATCCTTCGAGCTCTCGAGCTACTATCCCCAAGTCCCTGGCTGTGCCGAGTTCTGCTGAGTTAAGCCTCCAGGCCTTTGAAGTGGTCTCCATCAAGGAACGCTTCCTGGTGGATGTGGGTGCAGCTGGAGGTGGATGGGTCGAGGCGGGCGACACCGGAGGGACCAGACGGTTGGAACACCGGAGGGACCGGGAGGGCAGTCGACCTGCCTTTGCGGCGACACCGAGGTCCCAGAAGTTTATATCTCGTGCACGTTCACATTCAGTCGCATGGAGTTTTGTTGGGAGCCAATCGAAAGGGTTGGGTTTTTTTGGTTTCCTGCCGGTCGGTTCCGAATGGAAAGGGCTTGGCTTGGATTTGGGGGGGCTAATATCTCCTATGACCATCCCCAAATGTTTCCAGTCGTCAGTCCGAGTCCCTGGGCCTTTCGTGTCTCGCCCTGCCAGGTGCCCCAGGGCCGCTTCCGCCCACGCCCGAGCGGCGGCAGTCGAGCGCAGTTGGAGGCCTAAGGAAAGGGGAGATGTTCGGGCCTTTATTGAACAGATAGGATACTAGACGACGAGTGGCCCGAAAGCATTTTTCATCACGTAGGAAGTCAGAGTTTCCGGAAGAACCCTTCGCAATGCTTTCGGGATATAAAAAGACACATCAAAACGGCAAAATACGGAGTGAGTGCCAAAGACCTTCGCAAAAACCACCAAAGGCACCATGGACTAAGAGAGGGAACTCTGCACGGGGACCACGGAGACCCACCGGTCTAAGCGACGCAGATCGAACGAATACACTGGCGCTGTGAAGAAACAGGTCTTCTCCAAGTCACATGGAACCTAAGAAATTCACCGGCTGAAGAGGATTTCACGAAAACCAACTGAGTGGTTTTTTGGGGTCCATGTTACTCGTAGTCTGCAGGGGAATATGTCAGAAACAGGTTGCGGAATTCTGTGTAACTGCAGTTGTCGAGGCCGACACGCACTATAGCTACTTGCTGGGCCATGCAGCAGAAGGGCCTTGGCTTCAGCTGGCACCTTTGCGGATGCTCTCCTTGCATCTTCGCACCGGAACTGAAGGACGGGTCGAGATCTGATGGGTGTCGCGTCGTGCAGTGCTTTGTGCGTTTGGAAAGCGCGTCCACTCAGTTCAGAGGCACTTATGCAAGGTATTCGGGCAACTTGTTCCAGTACTGCCAGTATCAGTGTAGCCGCCAGTATGCACGCAGTGCTTTCCCTCATCCATCGCATCCATGGTTGCACCCACAGTTAAAAAAGAACACAGTGCCCTGCGACTCACAATTTCTAATCCCACATGGAACCATGATGCAGGACATGCCATGATTTGCCGGAACATTCCTTGCATCATGAATTAGTCAAGCGTGTTCAAAGGGGCTTGAAGTTTTAAGTCGAGCCAACACATGCGGTTCAGTTCAGCTATTACGCTTTCGTTGCTGTCTTTGGCATGCCTAGATTCCAAAGCCGCAGCATGCCGTTGGGACACCGAGTCTTCCAAGTCGTTGACCGCCAGGCCGGGTCTGTGCTGCTGCCTGCGCGCTGCGAACTCATGGCCAAGAAGAAGAGTATTCGGTGGCTTGGGTCGTCGGAGGCAGGACATGGAAGAAGACTGCGCAGAAGACTCCACCCTGCGAGATGGGCTGTTTTTGGCAAGTGTTCGAGTTAAAGCTGCAGGAGATTCTGACATGGTTTGCCAGGAATGTTTCTAGGTCATTCCAAAGGGACGCTTCCGGGAGCTTCCAAGCTTTCAATGCAAAAGTGAGTGTTGCATTTTTCATCAGTGTTTATATACAAAAATATACATAGTCATCCAAGGGGCCTATTTTCCACCTTCTCGATAGTCATCCAAGTTGCGCTTTTTCTGTTGGAGACGTCAACTTTGCTGGTCTGTGTCAGTCAACAGGCAGAGCGGAATTCATCTCAACTCGCATGCGCATGGTGGCCTCAGAGGAGCGGGCAGGGAGTCAAGACAGGGGCAGGTCTGGAAGGAAGGGCTTGAAGGGCACACCGATTCGATTCGATCTTGTCTTTGAATTAACTTCTTTTTGCCATGAATTCACCAAATTTCACGCAAAGCCCAATTTCTCGTCCTGTAACTTGAAACTCTGTTTTTTTCAATTTCTTTCAGGGTTGTTGGCAGCTTTGGATGATATATATATATATACACATACACAGATAAAGATGAATCGTTCCACTTTTTGACGTTGTTCTCACCGCTTTTTCATGGGATGCTGATTCACACGTCTGAACGGCCAAACAGTAAGGCCTTTTCAATCAGCTTGTCAAGGAGCTGAACGGGGGACCTCCTCAAAGCAGCCTGTTCACGTGTGAAACCGAAACGACCTCCTCAGGTTTCCGGCAGCCTCCCTGCTCTGTGGTCCACCCTGCCTGCCTCCCCCAAGACGAAGTCCTCAAGCAGAGGTGGATCTACTGGAGCACCTGCGAGACTTCATCGTGGAGGCTGACCCCGCAGGGACCCCCAGCGAGACGGAACGGTTTGGAGGCTGACTCCAGCGGGAGGAGACCAGATGGAGGCCTGGAGGAGAGCGGATCTCGGGATGCTGGTGCCTGGGGATGAGAGATGGTGGCAGGGGAAGAGTAGTGATCAGCATATGGGTAGCTCAAACAGGGAGAGCGACCGCCGGCGTCCCGACTCCCTCGATGGTTCGGAAGATAGGACCAGTCTATTGATGGGGTGAAGGAGGTTCCCCTTTATTAAAAAAACACACCCATATGATGCATGAAATCAGTGGACCTGTTCTTTTTCTTGTAACTTGTATCTTGGGGATATGGAGGGGCTGATGATTCTGAGGACATCATCCTGGGCTACGATCTTTTGAATGGCCATTTGAACTCTGCCATCTCCCGTGCCAATGCACTGAAGATCGGTGCGAAGCGAGGCCGGGGCCTGACCAGGGGGGAGGGCAAAGCGAGGGCACCCGAAATCAGCGAGTGGAGGGAGGTGCTTTTCCTGACAGGTTGAATGTTGTGCTTGATGTAGCTCTCTGCATCGCAAGGAAGAGCTTTCAAGGTTTATACATTTTCTCGGACTTCTCAGAGCTGTAAGACATCTCCGGGTTCAGATGAGGAGAGTTGAACATCCTTGCTGTACTTGGCCCAAGCAACAGGTGTTCTTGGCATCGCCCCAGACCACTTTCACCAAGATATTTTGTCAAACAATATGGTTTGTTCGTTTCCTGGAAGGAATTCACTGATACGTACAAAGAGTTTGTGGAATGGTGGGCTGATACAGTATGTACAGTAAGTGCATGCAGTGAGGTCCAATTGACAGGGGGCTTTGGCGCTGCAACAGAGTTTTGCTTTGCGCAGCGGGCCACAGCCTAGCTCCGAAATTTTGTTTGGGGATCGGCCAGTGTTCTAACAGTTTTGGAATACTGTATCTCTTGGAGGCACCTGTACCGACCAGACAGCACTCTCACTGGCTGCAGGAGTGAAGGGAGCCCTTTGTTTGGGCCGTTTGAAAGATGTGCCTTCAAGGGTCAAGAACGCCACCTTCGAGACCCGTCAGCAAGGCGAATGGCAGAGAGGGTCAAGTGTTTCTAAAGTGCGTTGCAGACATGAGGGTCATTGTTGACCAGATTTTTCGAAGTGTATGCCTTCGAGGGCGGGGGTGCGAAAAGCAAGAGAAACTGTGGAGAAGGAATTGTTCACTCCCAGATCAATCTGCCTGTTTATGACTTGGTGTTTCCAGCCTTTTGAATGTGTTTTTTGGTTGGATCTCTCATGCGCAACGCAGAAAAAAACTCTTTGATTTGTGCCAGGCAAGCAGGAAACGAAAGACATCAACGTGGATGGCCGGCTGCTGTTCGACCTTCTGCCTGTCATGGAGAGAGAACACAAACTCAGCTGCTCGTCCGACGCCTTTGCCCCCGTTAAACCATCACATGCGCCACACGCACGCGCGTGTTGCCGCGCGAGCCGTCCTTGGCCAGGCCACCAGTGATTTGCACCATTTTGGCTAGGCCACAGTGTTTGGTGCAGTGATTTCTAGCGGGCTCAAATGTGTTGAATGTGTCTTTCCCACGTGACTGCAGAAAGAGTCCTTCATCCCCTGTGAGAAAGCATGTAGTCAAGGAGGATGATTGTACGCAGATCAGCACCCTGTTGCATGATTCTGCAGCACATGGGTTTCAAGTCTAACAAGGCATGATCCATACCTTTTCGCGTTAGCTTTCCAGAACTTGGAACCTCTCTCCCGCAAGCTTGTTCCAAAATTATATAATTTTTTGAAGAGACAGGATTCTCGGACAGGGCCTGAAGCTTTGTGAACACTCTACGAACGCCAGTAGGCTAGGCTGAAGTCAATTTTTTTTTTTGCGAACCAAGTGAACTATTTAGAGGGGCGTGGTGTAGTAACATATTACTAAACTCAGCTTCTGGGTGAGTTGGTGATGCAGACAATGCGAGGCTTAACTTTACCGCATCACTCGCATCATCAAGGCGGTTGTAGGGTACTAGGTCTTGGATAGTAGAGAGGTTTGTTGAGACCTGAACGTTCGAACCCTGTAGTGGTGCATATGAGACGGGCGAAAAAGGGCTGTTCAACATCTCTATACTCCCAGAGAGGTGGAGCAGCCCTTGTTCGCCCATCCCATATGTACCAGTACCGAACGTTCAGGTCTCTCAGCCTCTCTTGCACTGGGAACTTCCTAGGCTCCTACACGCTCTCTGCCCTGGCTTTGCACTTCCTGAAAGAGTCCAGGCACGACTGGACTGCTGAGAAAAGCCAGGAGTCTACCAATGGCATATATATATATATTTATAGTTGTTATATGATATATGTATCATTTATTCTGTTCTCATCTTTTATCCCTTCTCTGGAAGATCATGCCGAGGTGACCTCTCCACCTTTTTCCATCATGTTTTGCTCTTCGGAGTTTCTAGCGGGTCGCCAGGATGGAGCTCAGCAGCAGCGATCTCGAGCGACTGAGCACGGAGGAGCCGCGCGTGCTGGGCGACCTGGTGCAGCGCGACGCAGGTTCCGCCGCCGCGGTCCACGCTGCGAGACCGGTTCCGACGACGGGGAGAGCCTTCGCGCACCGAAACGGCCATTGAAACGACCAATTCGACACTCAAGAAGCAAGATGAGCAAGCAGGAAAAGACCTGAGAACACACATATTATATAGCTAGGGCAATGTTTTTTTGGCAATTTTTTCGTGTTTCACAGTGGACATCTAGCGGCAGTTGGCGTTGCTGCTTTCTTTGCCAGAGTGTTGCTGCTTTCATCCAGTCCCTTTGGTCTGGCTCGTCACAGGTTTGGCCCTGCGGCTTTTCAGCAATCAGCACTGCCTCTTTCGATACGTGGAGATGGCGCGTGTCACGGGCGTGCCGATGGAATTTCTGCTGACCAGAGGCACCGTGGCACCGGCGCGTTGAACGCGCTGCTCCGCTGCTCCGGTTGCTGTGCTCAGATGTTCTAACGCTCGAGAAAGCGACGAGAAAGACCTTCATAGCAAGCAGCAAGAGGAGGTCATGCTGGGCTTTTCTGTGATAAATCCAGGATACTCCACGAGGTTCCACGAGGTGTTTTGGGTCGAAACGCGGTCTTGGCACGCTCACCATCCTCAGAAGGCTCCTAGGGCTATGCGGCTATGCAGCTCCTTCCTTGTGGAAATGCCTCCCTCCCCTGGCCTTTTTTGGCGGCGTTCAACTCAGTACTCTTCCCCTACGTAACTTCTATGTTCTCCCCTTTGCTCGAACTGGAACAAATCTGCTCTGCATCAGTTTTTCTTGTCACTGTAGATGACTGAGGCTCTTTGGTCAAAACACAAAACAGCTAATACTTGTGCAATGGGTGACTAAGGGATGACTTTGTCAGGTTCCTGTAGCGTTTCGTCACAGGCCAAAGCGTCAAAGTGCTCTCCATGCTGCTGCGTAAGGCCAAAAACGGTCGCTCGATGGGTCGACCGAACGATATTCGATTCGATGGAGGTGTTATTTTTTCAAAGCGGACTGGAGCCATGTGTGCGGATGGTTTATATAGAGTGCCATAGGCTCGGTTTGGTCGCATGAATGGTCCTCGAAAGCGAACGGCTTAAGACTCATTTGGACCATTTAAGATATTGTCTTTTTGTTTTGTGGGGTGTGGAGAGTGAAATTCACTCCCCTCCACAGCTTCCCTTCGGTGATTTTTCGTGCCTACTTGGAGGCTCGAGCCTTTGGCTATGTGCTCCCCCCATCGAGCCGGCCCAGCAGTGGCTTGGAGGAGGGGAGCAACACCTATGAGGCCCTGGGGAAACCTGGCGGCGGGGGCGGTTTTCGGCGCCCTATGAGCTCAAAAGCCTATTTTGGTTGAACACATCAATGGCCCAAGATTGATGACAGTTGACCTTGGTCTTGGCATTGTTGATAGCTAACATTGGTGACACGTGACCTTAGTTTTGGCATTGGTGATAGCTAACATTGGTGACAAGGGACCTTGGTGATGAGATGGCATGAAAGCGCCATTTTTCAATTGACACGTGAGCAACCACTTTTATTTAGGCATGCTCTATTTGATTGTCTATCATCAGTATTCGCTTGTGAACTAGATAGGGCCCTTACACAAACGAGATACTTTTGCTTGACGACACTAAAGTAGTCTGAACGAGATAGTGTGATTTGCTACTAAAGTAGTCTGAACGAGATACTGTCACTACTGAGGTAGTCTAAACGAGATAGGGCCCCCACACAATAGATAGTGTATTTGAGTTTAATGCCAAATAACTGCCGCCACACATGTGTTTTCTCGAGCCAGAACATCAACCAATCACTTTCGGACACGAACAGCTTCCTTCATCGCAGCGAATGCCGGCCTTGCGACCTGACCTACCACCCCAGGGCGGTGCAGTGCTCGAGCCGGAGACCGGCTACTACGATGAGCCGGTGGTGACGTTGGACTTTGCCTCCCTTTATCCCTCCATCATGCAGTTGCTTGGCAGAAGTCTGCCAGCAGTCACGTAAGACGACCGGGGTGCGATCGTACCCCCACGGCCCCGACGTCACATCCACGGCCCCGCCGATGGGACGAGCCACAGCAGCCCACTCCGAACGTGACTGCTGGTATATCTACAACATTTGGAACACGACCATTGAAGATACCAGCAGTTGGACCTTTCCAGGCAACCTGGCAGTTTTCGCTTTTCCACAGTGGTCAGGACTCGGTCAGCGGACTTCCAGGACTCAGCTCGTCACGGGTTCCCCGTGGAGTTCGGTCCTGAAGTTCGGTCGACGGGTTCCCCCGTGGGAGACCGCCGTGTCCTTGTCCTTTGGAGAAACCAAGAAACCATACCAGGACCCTCTAAGGGTCTAAGGGGTGCCCTGTCTGGAAGCCGTGGTTAGGCCGGATCCGTGTGGGGTAGTGAAGCGCCAGGACACCCCGAAGGTCGGAGGGTCCTGGTAGAAGCACATGCTATTGCTATTATCTGACAACACCTTGTGAAGCTGAGCATGTTGATCGTATTTCTTACTGTCCATGAACGGACTATCTTTACGCCACAACGGACTATCTTGATCTGCGCATCGCGCGTGTGAAAGTCCTTGACTCACTGACTGGCGGACGACTGGCGGCTAGCCCCCCCAAATCCTGTGCACCTGGCTTACAGTGGTTTGAGAGTAGATGGCACAGTCTGCAAGATGTTCTTTTCATGCGTGTTCATCTATACCACCTCTTGGGCACAGGTGCCATCTACTCTCAATCCCCCCTTGCCAGTTACTTTTTGAGGGGCACTGTGACTCTGTGCGCCCATACCGCGTGGACCTCCGCCCCCGCGGCCGTTCGAGGAAGCACAACCTCTGCTACAGCACCTTGCTTCACGGCCCAGCGCCCGAGGCGCGCGCCGACCGCCAGGGACGTTGAAGGATTGATTGGTTTCTGAAATGGTTGATGAGTGGCTGGGGTTCACACGCATAGAATGAGCTGAATCATTTTGACCGTTCACATGGTCTATGGGCCTGACTCGAATCATCTACTTTTAACATTTACTCGTTTGTGTTGATGTATAAAGAGATCACATTCATGCCAACAGTCTCATCTGTTTGGGTGAGACTAGTCTCATCCAGCGTCGCCGGACTGGGACTCCGCTGGACTCGTCGGCCGCGCCGCGTGACCTGGTGGTGCCAGGGGAAGGAGGGCGAGCAAAGCCACGAGGCGGAGCTGGGCTGGAGTTGGGTGTGAGGATGATCGCCTGGGGGGGTCGATGGTCGAGAGGTACACTAAGAACGACGAAGAATCAGACTTCTTCTGGTTTGATGTTCTTTTGGTGAGCCAAAGAATGGCCCAAATGAGGAGCCTGAGTTCTGCACCGCTTGCAGTCTTCGGGATCCGTCATGACTTCGGATCAAATCGGATCAAATCAGTGCATATACCTTGGATCTTCCAACGATGCAGCGACATTTCTGCCCTTTGGCGTGACCGTCTTACCGAATTGGACAGACACGGAGACAGCGTTTTTCCCATCGTCTTCTCTTCGCCAATCTTCTCAAATTTTATCCACTTTCTACATTTGCTCGAATTTTCTCGATCTGGAGGAAGGATGGAGAAAACCAATCTTCTCATTTTTCTCGACCGGGTCCGCTTGGCTCGGCTCGGCTCGCCTCGTGTTCATCAGGTGGTGCCCGGCTTGGGCCATCGCTTTGTCACTTCAAAGGTCCGCCGCGGCTCCTTTGCTTGGACCGGGCCGGAGGTGAAATGCATCAGTTTCGGGGAGTTCCTTTGAGTCCTGAGATGTTTGGTTGACATACCCTTGAAAAAAGGAACAGACAGGCTGCTGGAAACGCAATGAACAAGAATCCTGGCAATGACTTACAAGAAAGCTGGTTGGGCAAATCGTAGAAGCCCTGGCGCCCATCTAGTAGCTTTCCGTTAAAAGCCATCAAAAACCGACGGTCCATCGGTGTTATTGAGAAAGTAGGACGTTTCGGAACGCAGTGAGCTTTGCTCTTCAGCGTCTCCAACTCTGCCGGCGGTCTGAGGCTTGGTGCCCATGGTCTTGGAGGAGCTTTTAACCGCCAGGGCCAAGGCGAAGAAGGAACTGAAGGCTCTGGGCCAAGGCGAGAAGGGGGGCGAGAACGAAGGGGGCGTGCTTCGTGTTTTTTCTCCAACGGACGCCCCGAATTCTTATTCGATCCTTTTTGGGGATCGTTTGGGTTTCGCCGCTTGCGCCTGACCGACTCTTCGAGAAGAACACCAATCCCCAAAACGGCTGCCAAGTCCACCGCAGTCGAGAACATCCGAGGAGACGACGGACTGCGTAAGGAAGACCTTGGACATGCGGTTTGTAGATGTTCTTCTGATGTTTGTATTTGTATCTATATAACGGTAGGTACCACTGGCTCGACCGTTGGCTTGTCTTAAAGCGTAATTGCCAAGTATTTGTATCGTCTTAAGTCTTAGTCCAAGATCCGCCCAAACGCAGAAAACGGGCTGCCCCTCGCCATGAAAAGGAAGAATGGAAACAACGCCGACCTCACATGCTCTCACTGCTCTAACTGCTCACTGCTGCATGACGTTCGTCATGCACCCGCTTGGATTGATCGTTTTTGGATGCGACATCCATTGGACCGACTCTCCCCACCTCTCCGACTCCCTCCGCGCCTGGAAGAGGAGATCCACAACTTCGGGCTGTCCTGGATGGTCGGCAGTTGGCCTTGAAGACCCTCGGTCCCCTGGGCCCGATGTGGTCGTCCGCTTGGTTCCGGAAAGGATGGAGGTCCGAAGCGACGGAATTCAGGGGTCAAGCGACAGATGCATCGCCGAGGATCTCATACCTGGACCATCCGACCAGACCTGGGTGTACTGGCTGGAGATCCCTATAGGTCGTGGGCTGGGGGGCGTCCAGGCAGGACGATGGTCGGATGGTCCTGGTAGATGTCAAAAGGGAACCAAAAGCAATCAAAAGGATTTCAAAAGGGAATCAAAAGGATTTCAAAAGGATTTCAACAGGAAACCAATAGGAATCAAAAAGGGTTTCAAAAGGATCAAAAGGACACCAATAGGAATCAAAAGCATTTCAAAGGGGAACCACAAGGAAACCAATAGGAATGAAAAAGGATTCAAAAGGGAACCAAAACTATCGGCGAGGATCTCGGAACCAAACTTGCAACGCGAGGATCTCGGCGAACTCCGTCTATGGCTTCACAGGCGGTGAAAAGGGCTGGTGCCCAGTCCTCTACCTGGAAGGGCTTAAACCAACTAATTAGACACATATATGATCCTTAGTGGTTTTGCGATGACACATTCAATGACTTAAGTCCTATATGTTTGTCTTAAGGATAGCGGGGCACAGTATACCCTTTTTTTGAGATTTGTGCAAGCTATGAAAGCTTAATTCCTCCACACAGAGGGAATATGTATATCACAAGGATGGTGCACAGCTTCCGCTGGAAGCTGCCCAAACTGCCCAAACTGCCCACTGTGTGCGGTACGTGATACACTGAAAGGCCGGTTTTCCCTTACACATCACGTACCCGCCTTCTAGCGTGATTGGCTGCGCACTCAGTGGGCCTCGTCATGGATGGCACCTATCCACTTCCATGATCATTTTCAGGGAGCAGCGTATCTGCTAGAGTCTAGAGACTCTTCGGTGCCGGACTTTGTTTTGGGCTAGCGGCCTGCCAAGTATCCGATCACATGGCATCCCCAAGCACGAGCACGAACGAGGCCAGCAAACATTTGGGGGTTGGAGTCACACCGTCACACTCCCACAAAAGAGTATTGGGATATGACCATGTAAGACATGAGGCCTTCGTCTTCTTCTTCATCCGACGGTGCCCTCAGACTCATCGGTCTCGATCCAGACTGGCTGTCGAACCGACCGACCGGTCGACGTGCCAGGCATGTCGGTGGGTGCCCTACCCTGCCAAGCCATCGCGGCCTCTGTGACGGCCTCTCGGTGTTTTCATGGCCGTAGCCGGCCAGACACAGACGGGCCGAAAGGAAGTTGCTTTGTCACGAAGGAAGCCCCACCCACAGATGGAACATCATAAAAGGAAGCCCAGACGCTCTACTAGGAGCATCCGTTCGTTTCTTTTTTTTGAAGAGGCTCATGGACGGGCCATGTTACACTATATACTTCTTTGGGGCTTCCATAGACCAAGATTGCTGACCTTTGGCCCGCACCGGGAGGCCCTTTGTGAGCGAAGCACAGATCCCCAGAATCGTCAGCCAGAACAGGGCCTTTCTTTAAGTGGCTGTGGGTCATGGCAGCGGGACACGGCTTTTCCCACCTGGCCAATGCACAGAATAGGCTACCTGGCAGGTCAAGCGGGCCAGCCCCGTGACCGGGGCTCCGGGCACCCAGTTGTCATAGGTCCTGAACACCTCTAAACTGAGAGTCTGTACAGTAGTCTAGTGTTTTTGCATGATCAACTTCAGTCAAATCACTTCACTTCCTGACCTGCTCAGACGATCCCGAGACACTCGCGGATCGGCGCGACGCGGAGGCCTATGGACGTCAGATGATCGAAGCAGCCAAGGCGCCGGAACCTGGATTCCGGGGCTGGAGGCGTTCCTGGAGCTGTTTGGAAAGAGATCAAAGACACAACCGGAACTGGATGGGACTGGAAGATGATTGATTACATGTAACACACACACACATATATATATATTTACTATACCCTGGGAGTCAAAGAATATAATGAAAATCATGGTCTTTAGATGACCCGAAAAGGAATTTAATTTCCTTTACTTCAGTCGGTCAAAAAAAAGTCTTTGGACTTCTAGGGTATATATATATATATATACCTAGAACCTGAGTGACCTCTGTTTTCAACCACCAACCACCCAAAAGATTGTCTTTTTCCTATCAAAACAGAGGTCAAATGGGTTCTAGGTATATATATATATAGATCCCCAAAAACTGTCCAAAACCACTCCGCGACTGATGGGGGGCTTGGACCGCGATCGCGATCGAATCGATGGAACGTCTTCGTTTTGGCCTTGAAAAGGGTCTTTGAGGGAAAAGAACGGGTGCCAAGACCACTGGTGACACTGGTGCTGAAAATGCTTTTTTTCTTCGGGGGGTTGCTATCCGATAGGCTGAGAAGTTCTGGGAAAAGGTTAACTTTCCAAGATAAATTTATTATAGATATTTGTAGTGGGCTCTTTTCCATTCAATGTCAGTAGTTTGGAGTGCACCTTGTGAACAAGGCTATATCTTTTGCACGCACGATCTCTGAGCTGCTCTTTAAGAAGGCCCTGGCAGGCCATCAGAAGCAAAATGAGGCAACGGCCTGCGGCTCGGCCACAACTGCTCACAAACAAACAAACTATTAACTGACTGACTGATCGACTGGCTGGCTAACTTACTGTAGACTTCAGCATGGCGACCCTTGCACTCCGAATCTACTGCAAGATACCAGAAATCTTCCCCCCTCCCGGTAGCCCGTGGAGGTTCTAGATGCGACCCCCAAGTCTCACCAAGCTACGCCGGGTCACTCCAAGCCATATGGAGCCATGCCGGATGAGCTGGATGGGTTTCCGATGCCTTCCAACAAGGAGCGACAGGCGTGGGGCCCTGGGCCCGCCAGACCGCGGGTGAAGTCTTCACCTAAACATCTTCGCGACAGACGATGAAGAGACAGATTTTTGCATGAGAATTTGGCCATGACATCGAATTCGTGACCTGCTTGGTGTTCGTGGACTCGTTGACCTCTCGGGACCGATCCCGCCAGGCGAGCGACCGCTGCGCGCCGCGGCGCGGCAGAAGACGGAGAGGGGCGGAGGGGGTGAGGGGGTCGGGGGAGGGTGAGGGTGTTTCAGGTCAGAATGAGGGTGGGGGGAACTGTGGAGATGGAGATGTTTTTCAGACTTGCCTGAAAGAATTCTTTATTTTTCTGTGGAGGTTTTCCGAACTGTTTTGTCTTGGCCATGCCGCAATGCCTTCCAACTTCGGATATTTCAGAGAGCGCAGGTTCCTTGTTTTGGACGGTGGCAGCATCTTGGCTCCTGCGACCACTGGGTTCGCAGGAGCCTGAGCGTCGGGCCCATCGGTCGGTCTTGGAACGCCGATGCCGATGCCATCTCAGGCACTTGGAGGACGCAGACCATGTGACCTCTCCTCCGCAGGCCGGTGGTCTCGTAGAGCGAGGGACACGTGCAGCTGGAGAATTGACCCAGCACTTGGCAACATCATTGGTCAGTGTAAAGGGTTGTGCTATGCTGCAGTTTGCGGCGATGAAGCGCCGTTTTTGATTCGATCTTGGAAGCACACTGGATCAGCTGTGAGTTTGCATGTTGCAGTTGAGAACACTTGGGCCATCAAGAACCATAGACGACATCGTGTATCCACCAAATTACTACCAAATGCCACAAACCGGTGTTGCACCCGGATGTCCACAAATAGAAAAAAACATCCACAACTGTCCACTTGTGAAAAGCAAATCATCCTTTTATATAAACTTTCCAGCAGAGGTTGAAGAACCCGAACTAGACTATCCTAGTTCAGGTTGAAGTACCCCTGGTTACGGGTCCTAGTTCAGGTCACTTAACCTCTGTAGGTTTGTTCAAACCGTGGGCAGCCCTGCCGTGCCCGCCCCATGCCGCAGTGCCCAGGCAGCGGGCTCTGGCCTGACAGCCGTGCGGCAGAAGCGGCCCTGGGCGTGTCTCGGTGGGAGGTGAAACCACCGGTGAAGCACGGGGGTGGGCTGGTCGGAAGAGGACGCTTCTTAGAATAGGACATATGAACCCAACAGAAAGCAAACAATGTTGACAGATTCGATGATCAGAGGAAAAAAGAGAAGAAAGAGACCAAAGGGCTCAACCAAGAAACTGGTCAAGACCAAACGACACATATAGTGCTCTTTTTTCCGCGGTCTTGAGCTTCGAGACGGAAGGACTTCCAGAGTTCTTTTGTTTCCACCGGTTGGACGGGGGTCGATCCGACCGCCATCGCAGTGGAGGATCCGGCAGCTCTTGGTTCCAGGTGCTTGGTTCGCAGCAGCTTGAGCCAGCTGCCGGAGGGGTTCAGCCGGTTCTTTCCTTTCCTGATATTTCTTTTCTCTACATCGTTTGCCAAGGGAAAAAGACCTGCCCCTTCACCGGGCCACCACCACCACGCTGCCGCTTCAGCGGCGCCGGCGCCGATCCAAACCCGGCTCGGTTCGGCGCCCGGTCGGTGCCCGATGAGGTCCCACACGGCGGAGCTGGAAAGCTGTCCGATTTGCTGCTGGGATCGAGTTGATTTCCGACTCCACGAGCCCGTCAGAGTGGAGGATCGGTGATGGGAAGAGGTGAAGAGGTGAAGGTGAAGGTGTGAAAGGTGCCTACTGATGGGATCAAGGGTGTGAGGTTTCGGGTGCTTTGTGTTCTACCGATGTATTGGTCGTTTCTCATCCTTTTCCGCTCGTTTTCGATGGGTGCTTTGTGTTCTACCGATGTATTGGTCATCAGTTTCTCATCCTTTTCCGCTCGTTTTCGATGTTTTCGTTCAGACCAGGCGCCTTTTTTCTTGAATTGGGAGACTTGCTAAGTCGAGACACCGGGGATTTGATGACATGCCCTGCATTTGTGGTGTGCAGATCTGAGGCTTGGATGCCTTATGCAGCCAGGCGCAAGGCGTTTGTGTGGATTCTTGGTACAGCTGAGTCTGAGGTTTTTCTTTTCGGACAGTTCATGAAGAAAGCCCCCGCAAGTCCGGAGAAGCTCTAATAGGGTAACCCTATTTCTTCCAGATTTGTTGGGAGATGCCGAGATGCTCGCTCGATCTGCCTCCCCCAACATGCCCCAACCAGCCGGCGTGCCCGCGGTGTGCGCGGTTTTCGCGGCACACTGCGGCACGGTTTCATGCCCCTCCGACCCGCGCCGAGCCGCATCCCTGGACCGCCTTCCGAGCCTTCCGAGCCCAGGACCCTGGACGTCGATCGGAGGTCGTTGGCGAAGTAGGCGAAGTCTCATCGAATTCTGTGGTCGTTGGCGTTTCCCACCGGCAGGGTCCGACCCTCCCTGCCCTGCCCAAGGACTTGGAGGGGCAGCGGAGCTGTGCTCATTTCTTCCACTTGCGCTGCCTCGAACGAGTGGAAGGTGAGTGTTCGAACCGCGGTGTTCCACGACTCGAGAAAGCCTCCCAAGTTGGTTAGGGTGTTATTTCTGCACAAATTGGGCTTCAACGGTTGAGGCTTCAAGGGTAAGAAAGCCATGATGAAGCCTCGTTGGTTTCTGGTTCAACCTTTATACCTGGAATGATGTAGGCCAATGACTCCTAGTTTTCAGGTTGCAGCAACCACCCACTCAGAACACCAGAACCCTAGTTCGTTGCTTCAGATCCCTAAGAATCTTCTGCCACCTTCATCCGGCCTCAGAGCTTGACCACGTCCTCGACCGGACCAGTGCAACTCGGGGCAGGAATCAGTTATATCAAAGACATCAGTGAATGCTCTTCTTCCTTTGTTTGTGGGGACTGAAACCGGCCACCCCCAAAGCAACCCTGCATGTATTAGATGTGGTCCTCAGGAACACAATAGACATACGGCATGACCGGGTCAGTGAGCCATGCTGCCATACGGCAGGACCCATTGATAACCAGACTCGTGCGAGGGGGACGCGGGGAATGAGGGAATTTTCACCAGTCGATACCTCAGGATCCAGCCACCCCTACTACTCAGGATCCAGGTCGCACCAGTCAGGTCGCCACTTCCAACATCGAAACACTTCACCGGTCCGCGAACAGCACCGCGAACAGCGCCCGGTCAGTGAACATGCTTTTTCATCTCCCATCCGTCATTACCCCCTACATCTCCCACATCCACATCCAGCCAGCCCGTACCAGCGCCCCCAGTTTCGGGGTGGGTCATGTCATGGAAACCCCTTGGGACTCTTCAGGGCTTTGCAGCCGCAAATGCTGCGGTGATCAATCACATGCCTAGGCATCGCGCATTCAATAACCTAGGCAAGTGCAAACTGGACATGAAAAATTTTTTTCATATAACCTCTAAGCAGCTATCATTAGACTCCCCCCGACTGGCCCTGCCCGTTGGGCCCCTGGAAAATCTTCTTCCACACATCCGCCATCATCCGCCCCCAGCTGCGCCGCCCAGCCGTCCCCTCGACTGGCCAGCAGGTCCCCACTGTCCTCAGTGCCGTGGCCGCTTCTTCCGCCGCGCTCCGCTACCGCGCCCCACGGAGCACGGCTGGCGACAGCTGGTGGCGCCCACGGGCCTGCGGCGAGAGCTGGCGGCAGGACCGGATGGCTTGGTGTGGTCTTTTTTCATGGAGAAAATGTCAGGTACGTACTATATATATATATATTTATTTATTTATTTATTTTTTTAAATGTATATAGATTCATTGCATGTAATTTAATATATATATATATATATTTTTTTTTTCCGTTCTTTTTTATTGTTTCGGCACCCAACGTGTAATCAGACTGTAGAGAAAACCACCTCTCGAGAACGGACTCCGCTAGCGGACGCCCGTTTGGGGACGCCCACTTTCATCCACCTTCGGCGGCCTAGCACGTCAGGTTCACGGATTTCCT